AAAAAAAAAAAAAAAAAAACAAACCAATTTCTTTAATTGGTTGCTTCACTCCAATTTCATTATTTACAGCCATCACAGAAACGAGAGCAGTCTCAGGCGTTATGCACTTCTCAAATTTCTGAAAATTAAGCTTACAGCGGAGGAACCAACTAGTATAAAAAATGACAACAAAGAAAGTCCATCTATTACAGTGTACTCTTTGAAAAAAAAATTGTTACTGATAGTGAATTGTACTTTTGAACTCAACTGCTGGCAACATCAAGCTGAGAAGTTAAAAACAAAGAGTTTCTTAACTCAAATTTTGCTAAGGTAAAATACAGATTTTCTTTGGCTTTTCAAGCATTAAGTAATTTTACCTCCAAATCAATGACTCCATTCTTTCTCACTGGCAAATACGTCACACAGAAACCCTCATTCTCCAAGTGACGGCAAGAATCCAAAACACATTTGTGCTCCTAAATAAGGCTCGAAGCATTTCATGAGAGACAAAAGCGATCGTAAAAAAGTTGCTGTTCCAAAAGACACAATGAAATCTAAGAAGAATTGTTGAAACAACCCACTGTAGCTAAAATATCGTGCCGATTACCGTTTGAGTTGTGATTATATGATTCTTATCAGACTGTCGATAAAAATGAGCCACGCCTTTGACTGCAAGATTGTTAGATTCTGTAGCACCAGAAGTAAAAACTATTTCGCGCGAATCAGCTCCAATTAAATTAGCAACCTAGAAACTATAAAAAATGGAAACTAAAGATTTGCGAAGCACCAGTTGTAAAAAGCAGGCTCAAGTAAATCTGACAAAGTTTTTCTACTGTAAAGAAGAATAATGACCTTTTAAAGCTATTCCCACTGTTTCCCGCAAGCTTCTATTAGAAGATTTTGTTACCACTAGTGGATTTTTTAAACAAGGTGGATACGCGCTCAAATTGGATTATTTGGTTACCTGGCTACGAGCTTTTTCAACTGCGGCTTCAGCATCCCAACCGTACTGATGAGTACGGCTGTGAGGGTTTCCGAACTCATTAGCCATATATGGTATCATTGCGTCAATAACTCTCGGATCCTAAGTACAATGAGAAACTAAGCTAGCGTGACTAGGCGAAACTAGTGAAAAATAATGACCAACCATTACCATAGGAGACGTCGCCTGCACGTCCAAGTAAATTGGTTTTGGTTTGGGTTCCATAGTGGTTGTAGAAGTAGAAGCAACCCCGCGACTATGTATTCTGCATCTTCGGGCAACCAAAATAAACGGACGAATGAATTGATTACATTCCATACCTGAACAAAAGATATCCTATTACCCGCAAGAGAATCCCCAACAATGTACCAAAGCCGCAATTTTCGCAGCATCCAACGAAGCAGTTTCGCCATCCTTCCGAGAAACATTAAACCTACTGCCGGCACTACTACAAAAGGGGAACTACAGACGCAACTCAATCAAGCAATTATCACGTTGGTAATGAGCAGTAACGATTTGGGTGGGAATCGGCTTCGATAAATCCACGGAAGCACATGCCGCCTTCCAGATTACCGGAAAGTAATCATACTCAATCAGACCGCAGCAAACCTAACTTCCTAAACATAGCCGTCACTCTCTTATAAGAAATTAAAAGCGGAACAAAAATGGCTCAAAATCTTTACGAATCAACTTCTGAGTATTGTTGAGTTTGTAACAACATTATACAGTAAAAGCATCATACGAAACAAACTTTATTGCAAACTTTTAAACAAAAAATGAGTACAAAGAGAGCACAATTTTCTCTACGAATAACTAACAACTGACAAGATGTCAGCATGAAACAACATATTTGCAGGGCGCTCAAAATGTAAGATGAAAAACAAAAATGAACATATCAAGCGTATAAACACGGAAGAGTCTAGAAAAAACAGATATTCTTCAAAAAAATTAGTTTCCACAAAAAACTGTTTTATATCGTTCAAGAGCGTAATTCTGTCAAACAAACCGTTGACTGAACTTAATAAAAATCATTCAAGGAAGAAATCCCCTCCCGTCAACGAAAAAAAGGCCATATTTCACACCTTAACTTGAATTCTCTTAAAAATTCTATTAAAAGTCAATTAGATTTGAAATTTAGTATAAAATTAACAGCAATTTATCTACAGTAACGTTCAATACAATGCGGAAATTAACCACTTTCCACACTCTAACAGCATTATTTCAAATAAAACCCATTTTTCAAACTTAACCCTCTTTTACGAGTAACTGATAAATTATCAGTTCATTACGCAACCTTAAAGTTCAAAACGTTCTTCAACAAAGAAGAACTTCTTTCTGCACCGGCTCTTAATAAAAGTATGAGAGGTTCAATGCAGCTTTCTAATACAGATAATCCAAAAAATGAAATTAATTTTACTAAAAGGCAACGACTTCTAAAGTGACTCACAATAAAAAACTCAAAAAGTCACAATGAAATACAGAGGAAAAAAACAAACGAGAAGTTCAAGACTGAGCTGATTGGATAGTTGGAGGCGTTAATGAACCCGTATTATTGAGTAATGGAGTGCCAAGCGGTGCATTGCTTGCGGCCTGAGCTCCATCTACAAAAAAGTTGATATGGTTATTTTAAACAGATTAATATCATTGTCTTAAGCTACTACAGCTCGAACTGAAAGACTCTAAATCAAATGCAGTTCTTGTTATCACTCAGCAACTTTAAAAACTTCAAGCCTAACTGGCAGCAAAGCTTGCAAAAATTCACCTTTTCAGTGGCATTCCATATAAACTAGCTCAGTAGAAGCCCGGTAAAACAAAAACTTATAAACAAATTTCAGCTGCTCATAAAAGTAGCTGTTAGTACAAGTCAGACCTTTGAAAATCAACGGAATTAAAAACTGTAAGGTACTAACTCATAGTCGGTTGCTGCCCAATCTGCCTCTCCTGTTTGGATCGTTCGCGCTCAGCTTCAAGTACGGGGTAGAAATAAGGATGTTTCATGGCTTCCTTAGCAGTTAACCTATCTTGATGATCATAACGTAACAGCTTATCAAGGAAATCAATAGCCTCTGGAGTAATGAGATGCTCGTTCTCAGTATGTACAAAGCGCTCCCAACGCTTTTTCGAATGCCTTAAAATAAGCCGAATAAAAAATGTCAATGTATTAAAATACCTCATATAGAAGAGGAGATGAAGAATGATAAAACAGTGCACTCAAGCCACTCCAGGCCAAAATCCATTAAAACATCGAAACTATCAAGCAGTCTTGCATCATCACTTTGAGCAACTCTTCATTCTCATTTGATAACAAGTACAAACATAATCTATTTACCAAATAAAAACCGCGGCAAAAAAGAAACAAAATAACTGTTAAGAAAACGAAATAAAACTTGAAGTCAAATTTCACCTCCCCAATATATCATTGAATCGAGGATCCAATTCAATTTGATATTTATCAATATACTCGAACAGTTCTTCTGTACCCAGAACTTTAGCTATACGCACCAGCTACAAAATGTTCCAGTTTTACACATAACTTAATGAAAAATTGGTAAAGAAATTATTCCGCTATAAAATCTAACCTGATCATAGTTATCATGACCGTGAAAGAACGGTTCTTTCCTAAAAATCATACTAGCAAACATGCAACCCAAACTCCACATATCCAATGAGTAATCATAACACTAAAATGGCCCAAAATTAATAGTTAAATGAAAAGTTGAAGAACAAGAATAGTCACTTAAAACGTTTTCCAAGCACAAGTCTCTCACCTGATAATCAACTAGAAGCTCAGGTCCTTTGAAATAACGAGAAGCAACCCTAACGTTATATTCCTGATGAGGGTGGTAAAACTCCGCAAGACCCCAATCAATGAGACGTAACTGTAATTTAACTATAAATTCACAATCCTAACCAGAAATTTACAAATTCTCAAAACAAAATTAACTCTACATAGGAGAAAATGCAAAAAACTAAAAAAATAAAAAAAACTTGAACTGAAAAACTCAGGGGAAGCTGCGAAGAAATTAAACCATCAAAAAATAAAAGTTTTAAAACAGAAAAAGTCAGAGGAAAAGTCTGTGATATTCGGTATTTATGCTTATGCAGCCCTCCGAATAAAAAACCTAGATAAGTATATTAACAAATTTATTTATATTATTCATTAAGAAAACTTACGGTTCTACGTTCATGGTCTATCATAACATTGTGAGGTTTGACATCTCTGTGCATTATGCCCATAGAATGACAATAATTCAGTGCCTTTAGAAGCTCATAAAGGTAATATCGAATATCAAAATCTGTTAACGTCTGATATAAAACCTTAAAAGATAGAACATCCAGTAAATGCTTCTTTACTAATGGAAAGAAACGAATTCAATAATTAGATGATGTAAAGAATTGGGTCGAAAATAGAAAGAGTTAAATGAGTACCTTGAAGTCAGTGTTATTAACGTACTCAAAAACAAGAGCTGGCGTTCTGGAAATGGGATCTTTCACTACGTCCAATAAATCAATAATATTGGTCCCGCCTCGGAGGTTTTCAAGAATTTTAATCTCCCTCTTGATCTTCTTCTTTTTAACAGGCTAAATAAGACAGGCAAAATTATATGCTCACATTCTCGCGTTTTGAAACAGAAAAACAATGAGTAACCTTCAATATCTTGATGACACATTTCTCTTCCAAAGGTGCTTTAACTCCTTCAAAAACCTCACTGTACTTTCCACGGCCTAATTTCCGCACTAGTTGATAATCGTCAATATTACCCCAGTCTATCATATGGCATTCATAGTCCCAGTATTCCCGCGGTTTTTCGCTGTTTACCTAAACCTATTTTGTCAGTAATAAGAATGGATCCATCAATTTTAATGATTCTGAAGAAAAATGACAGTACAAATGCAATGTGTTTGGAAACGTACATCCGCATATACACGTGAGCGACTAGGAACTGGCATTATTATATTTTTATATTACCCTCTTCTACGAAAAGCCCGATGATACTGAAATCAGCAACAACTTTCAGCGACAATGACCATACATTAAACGTCTTACAGGACGATAATTTTATCAGTATCGATTCACAACACGTCAGATACTCAATATCGCATCTTCACCACTTTTTTCTTTTATTTTAAACGCGATATTCTAAGAGTAAAAACGATTTTCGTTAAAATAACAAAAAGTAAATGAATAGATGGAATGAAAATAAAGGAACTACAAGAACAAGTTAACTTACTTTCACAGGAACTAAGAAAAACAAAAAAAACACAGAAAACAAATCTTAACGCCAGTTGGCTAAAAAAGAATATCAATAATGATGCTGGAACCAGTTAAAAAATAATTATTCTGCTAA